GTTTGTTTGGGTTCCATAATCGAAATACTGTTTTAATTCCAGCTCTGAGATCCAGGCTGGCTGAGAGCAGGTTTCTGGGGTTTTGTTTAGCTTCTATATTTGTAACAATGTTTCAAACTGCAAGCTCAGAGGCTGGCAGCGGCATCAGAGAACTTTGGAGTCCTCCGTCACTGAAGCAAGCAGGCCTTATGTTTGCTTCAAGCTGCCTGGCTGCCGGCCGCCATCTTGGCTGGCAGTGAATTTGCATATGTCGCTGATTAGCCAATGGGAAGGGTAGCAGGTGTACGGCTAATTACCATGTTTCTTTTTTATTAGATAGGATAGGATATAAAGAGCCAGAGGCCTTCACATCTGAAACAACCTAACAGACTACTGAACAGGCTGAATGGGGCGACAAGGCCAGCATGGGCGTTAGTGAGGGATGACCAAATGACTGACCAGCAGGCTGTGTGGGGTGACCTGGCTGGTAGGGGGCAGTGAGGGGTGACCAAAAGACTAAATAGCAGGCTGCATGGGGCAATAAGGCCAGCAGGGGGTACAGTGAGGGGCGACGAGGCCATCAGGGGAGCAGTGAGGGGCAACCAGGCCGGCAGCGGGGGCAGTTTTGGGCAAGCAGGCTGGCAGGGGAACAGTTAGGGGTGACCAGGCTGTCAGAGGGGGGCTGTTGGAGACCAGGTTGGCAAGGGTTGGCAGGGACCATACTGCTGGTGGTGGCAGTTAGGGGCAATCAGGCCAGCGGGGAGGGGAAGTTGGGGGCAACCAGGCCAGAAGGGGGGCCAGTTAGAGGTGATCAGATCGGCAGGCAGAGATGGTTAGAGGGGATCAGGCTGGCAGGGGGGCCAGTTAGGGCCATCAGGCAGACAAGCAGGTGAACAGTTAGGAGCCAGCAGTCCTGGATTGTGACAGAGATAACTGGCTGTCGGACATTCCCCAAGGGGTCCCGGTTTGGAGAGGGTTCAGGCTGAGCTGAGGGGGAACCCCCCCACACACACACAAATTTTGTGCTCAGGCCTCTAGTCTATATATATATAAAAGCCTAAGTGACCAAAGCACTGAAAAACCAATCTACCATTCGAGATGATATGCACTGATGACCAGGGAGCTCAATACAGGAGCTGCCTCTGGTGTACTCCCACAGCCAACCTCTCAAGGCTGGCCAATCTCCCACAGTCTGTCCCACTGGCCGGCCAGCCAGATCTGCCCTAATAGGGCTGGCTGGCCAACCTCCCATGGTCGCTCCCCCTGGCCACCAGCCACGATTGGCCCTGATCACCACGCAGGCCGAGGGATCCCACCTGTGCACGAATTTTTATATATATATTAGTTGAACGATTTAAGCATTCTCTTCCTTCAGGATATCAAGAGGGTGTGATTAGTCCAATTTTATTCTAGTTTTTCAAAATAAAATATCTAGATTTCCAGATGTTTATCATTTTATGTAAGGTGGAACAAAGTTCTCTTTTTCTCAGTATTACCAATTAGCCAGTTATTTCCCATCAGCATTATCTATACCAGTTGTAAGGCTGAGGCAGGTTTACTCTTCAGGGGACATTTCACAATTGGTACAACTGGGGCTGTTATGGCATACAGTTTGGAGGGAGGCAGGGATGCTACTAAAGTTTCTAAATGTGCAGAGCAGCCCCCTTCCACCATAAAGATTTATCTGGCCCTAATGTTAATAATGCCCCCATTGAGAAAGTATGATGTATATGACTTCATCTTTAAATTGTAAGGTAATAAAAGCATCATCTGTAAATTCAGCATCCATATTTATACGGCCGTGACACTATTTAGTCATTGACGGACTTATGAAAAAGATTTGAGGTGGCTGCACATGATACAACTGAGTTATTCCTGAAAGGTTGTTCAATTATAGGAAGTTATCAGTTTGTGTCTGCACTTTTTAAGTTACAGAAATGGCTTCACTTCTTGAGATTGAGTTCATGGAATTCTTTGTGTGTTTTTTTTTCTTTCAAGTACTTAAATTTAATTCCAATATTATGAAGGAGAAAATCATCATTTTATCTGTGGCTGGACTAGTTCTCAGTATATTAGTCATTGTTGGAGCTGTTTTCTTCATCCCAGGTAAGATGTGCAGTTACTATGAGGGAAGTCATGGTTGATAAGGTTGAGAACATTGTGGGGGGTGGAACTCTAGGGGAGAATCCATTCCTTGCTTCTTCCGTTTTCTGGCAACCTGCAACTCCTTGGCTTGTGGCAGCGTAACAAAAATTCCACTCTTAAAACTCCTGTGCATCTCTCTTCCAAAGACACTTATCATTGAATTTAGGCCCCACCTCGTTAATCTAGGATAAATTCCTTCTTCCAAGAACCTAAACTAAATCATATAATGTAATGGTCTGCTTTGGCTGCATAAATTAATTTTCACAGCTTCCGGGAAATAGGAGGTAGGCTTATGTTTGGAGCCACCATTTAACCCACTGCAAAGGCAAACTTCATCAGGCAAGACATGGAAGTGGGAATGAACATGGGAAACAAATCAATCTGAAACTGCATTTGCCTTTTGGGGGATGGTAATGGGATTCGGAAATAAGGGTATGCAGCACATGGAAAGAACAGCAGGGATAGGCTGGGACTCAAAGTGTAGATGTAGAAAGCCCACTTTTTATTAACAAAATACAATATGGGTGTAATGTTTAGGAACAGAAATTTGGCAGCTCTCTTTGCAGCTGAAGTTAGTGAGGGTGTGGTGAGGAAAGAGATGAATTAAGAAGACAGCTACAAAGAATAGCTATTTTGACTTTGGAACAGATTGAATATAGCAAATGAAGGGATTGGTAAGGGGCTCCAAGGTAGTTAAGAAGGAGAAAAAGCCAATTGAAGGTTTTGACTTGTTGAGACCTAGATGTTGACATTTAGATGTCTTCAGTTTGGTCTTAAATAATAAAAAAAAATTGTCACGTATTTTGTGTGAGGTTTTAGGAGAAGCATTTATTTTTAAACATTTTCAGTTTCTAAGAGTAGTATTGAGATAAATACATTTAATAAATTAAGTACTTTTATTTCCCACAGAGTAGAAAGTATGTAGGAAAATATTTTAAACATTAATTTTATTTATCAACAGGTGAATATTCAACAAAGAGGGCCAGTGGACTTGGTTTAATTGTAGCTTCTACAGTAATACTAATATTACTTCAGATCTCTACGTTTATGATAGGTAAGTATTTGTTGTTTCAGCATGATTGTGTCCTTTTTCATTTAAAAAGCATCACTTTTTATTAAAATAATTCTTGCATTTTTATAATACAATAAAAGTTGATTTGTCTCCCTAACTATTCTTAGTGAAAATTTCCACCCATATGGATTAATTTTAATGTTATATTAGGTTTTAACATAGTTTTTTTATAAAAAGTGATTTTCAGAGATATATTTAATGCCAGCCAATGGATTTTTAAAATTATATTATTTAACTTCTTAAGAATATGATCTTCATATTCTTATTTCAGTTTTTGAAATTAGGAGTAGATATTAAACATTCTCATTATATTCTGTTATGAAAACTCTTTAAAAAACTAGTTATACAAAATAGGGTTGTAAATCAAAGAGTCATTGCAAATATTAACATTGAATTTTACAAGTTAGACATTATGATTATCTAACCTATAATTGGTAACATTTTTCACTCCATTTTTGGGTTAAATCACTAAATATTTTTATTATTAAAGAATCTATTTTTTCCATTAGCACATTTAACTCTTGGTATGAGAGCCTATCTCTGGGTTGTTATATATTAAGATGGTATTAATTTGTTCTAAAATCACAATTAGGGGTTATGACGTCTACAATGGCAAGCTTGCACAGTGGTTCTCCACCAGAGTGATTTTGTGTGCATGTGATGAGGCCTTGCTAATAGCCACTACTATGGTAAAATACCCACATGTGGTAAAAGCAGCATTGTTCTAAGATTTGGGGTAAAAACTGCCAATGCAGCTCAGCTCCCTGCAGAAATGAAAGGCTGCTGAGGGTGTGAATATGGAGCTGACTGCTGGAGTGGAGAGAGATGGCTTAGGTCACTGGGAAAGTAGCCACCACCTGACAGAGTCAGACTTTGGTCCTAGGATACTGACCTTGACTGTACGAAATACAAGTGGAAGTGATTGCTTCTTAAACATGTGCAACATGCTTATTTTTCTTTTTTCCTTGAAGCTCCAGCTAAGAGGAAGCTCCCCATCAGCATCATCTTATTGATTGTTCAGTTGCTGGGCCTTTTGATCTCTGTGGTCGGACTAAGCTTCTGTGTCTCAGGTGAGGGTCACAATCTATTCTAGACCCAATTAGTCTTCCTACCAGTAATTTCTCTTATAGCTCTTTTTCTCTTTCCTTTTCTTTGTCTTTCTTATTCTGTTTTAAATATATAGTCTTTATTTGTTAGAGCATTTTAGGTTCACAGCAAAATGGAGTGGAAAATACAGAATCCCCCTCTACCCCATCTACTCACAGCCTCCTCCTCTATCAACATCTCCCACCAAGTAGTACATTTTTTACAGTCTGTTGAACCAACATTGGCACAACATCATCACCCAAAGTCCATCGTTTGTATAAGGGTTCAGTCTCGGTGTTGTATGGTCTATGATTTTGATAAATGTATAATGACATGGACCATAGTCATAGAATATCATATAGAAAAGTTTACCTGCCCCCAAAACCCTCTGTGCTCTGCCTATTCATCCTCCCTATTCTGAAACCCTGGCAACCACCGATCATTTCACTGCCTCAATAGTTTTGCATTTTCCAAAGTGTCTTATACTTGAAATCATATAGTATCTAGCTTTTTCAAATTGGCTACTTTCCCTTAGTAGTGTGCATTTAAGTTTCCTCCATGTCTTTGGGTGGCTTGATAACTTATTTACTTTTTGGCACTGAATAATATTCAGTTGTGTGAATGGACGATAGTTTGTTTATCCATTCACCTATTAAGGGACATTTGGTTGCTTTCCCCGCAGGGAAAGGTATTGATTTGTTATCAAATTTCAGATCTAGACACACAATATAGAAGTGTATGTTTTTGTATGGACATACTTTTTCAACCTCATTTGGGCAAACACTAAGGAGTGCAATTGCTAGATTGTATGTTAAGAATATCTTTAATTTTGTAGCAAATTACCAAACTGTCTTCCAAAGTGGCTGCACCATTTTGCATTCCCACCATCAATGAATGAACACTTCTGTTGCTCTACATTCATGCCAGGTTTTAGTGTTGGGAGCTTTTCATTTTTTCACTCATTTTTCCCCTACTGAGGTCAGTGCTCTCCACATCAGCTGATTGTTTAGTGGTCAAACTGCCACGCCTGTATTCATGGATGAGCTTTTAAAAGAACCATTTGGGTGGAGGTTTAGGCTTCACAGACATTTCCCTTTAGTCTAGACTTGACAAGGTACATGCTATGCAAGCAACGGCTCTTCTTTCCATACAGGGAAAGGAATTTGGAATCATTGCACTGAGTTAATAATGGGTATACAAATGTAGGTAATTTTTGTTTCTTTTAAAAAAAAATATTTTTATTGATTCCAGAGAGAAAGGGAGAGGGGGAGAAAGATAAAAAAAAATGATGAGGAACAATCACTGATTGGCTGCCTCTTGCATGCCCCCAACTAGGGATCAAGCCTACAAACCAGGCTTTGCCCTGATCAGGAATTGAACTATGACTTCTTGGTTGATAAGTTGATGCTCAACTACTGAGCTACAAAGGCCGGGAAGTAATTTTTGTTTCTTGAAAATGAGAAAAATAATTACTCTCCCTAAAACTTAATGTTATTTCTGTTATTGATTCTTTTAAGAAGTTCAGTTATTTCATGTGAATTTCTAAGATAAAATTTTGTTTTTGCAGAGTGCATCCCAGTGCATGGTTCTCTTCTGATTTCAGGCTTGGGTATTACAACCTTAGGGGCATTACTTGGATTAGTTTATATGATATTTGTTGGTAAGTCAACTTTGTTTTTGTTAGTCTATGCCAAGAATTCCAAGTCTATAATAATAGGGTAATATGCTAATTAGATCAGACAGCCAACGACCTTCCAGACATCTTTCGGATGTCTTTTGGGACGAAGCTGTGGTGATGGGGGCGAGGCAGAGGTGGTTAGGGGTGATCAGACAGGCAGGTGAGTTGTTAGGGGCGATCAGGCAGGCATAATGGTTAGGGGCAGTTAGGCAGGCAGGCGAGTGGTTGCGACAATCAGACAGGCAGGTGAGCAGTTAGGGGTGATCAGACAAGCAGGTGAACAGTTGCAGGTGATCAGGCAGGCAATAAGAATGGTTAGGAGCAATCTGGCAGGCAGGCAAGTGGTTAGCAGTGATCAGGCAGGCAGGCAGAGGGGTTAGGGGTAATCAGACTGGCAGGCGAGCAGTTAGGGGCAATCAGGCAGGCAGGCAGAGTGGTTAGGGGAAATCAGACAGGCAGGCAGAGGGTTAGGGGCAATCAGGCAGGCAGGCAGAGGGGTTAGGGGCAATCAGACAGGTAGAGTGGTTAGGGGTGATCAGGCAGGCAGGTGAGTGGGTAGGCATGATCAGACAGGCAGGCAGAGGGGGTAGGGGCAATCTCTGTGGGATCAGGCCTAAACCGACAGTCAGACATCCCTCAAGGGGTCCCAGATTATGAGAGGGTTCAGGCTGGGCTAAGGGACTGCCCTCCCCCGACACACGAATTTTGTATACCAGGCCTCTTGTATATTATAATTTGGAAAGGCTTTTGGTTGGTTCTTATACCTTAGGATCAAGGAAATGTATTGGTAACTAATGAAAAAGGTAGAAATCATGAGCTATTGAAAAGTTTAAATTATAGCCTAGTTTAAAAGAAAATGGCTTGCCGAAACCGGTTTGGCTCAGTGGATAGAGCGTCGGGTTGCGGACTGAAGGGTCCCAGGTTTGATTCCAGTCAAGGGCATGTATCTGGGTTGCGGGAACATCCCCAGTAGGAGATGTGCAGGAGGCAGCTGATCGATGTCTCTCTCATCGATGTTTCTAGCTCTCTATCCCTCTCCCTTCCTCTCTGAAAATCAATAAAATATATTTTAAAATAAAAAATAAAAAAAAGAAAAGAAAATGGCTGAATGTTTTCAAATGCATAAACCTTTTAATGCTATGGAAAAGAAGAACTGGTTGAGGATCGATTTTAATAAATAGAAAAGGGTTTTTAATTGGCCATTGTTTGTGTGATAGCGCTCTTTCACAGAGACCTACTTCTCACTTGCTCTTCTTGCAGACTGGACTGGTTATAGGCCTTGACACCCAGAAATGGACAAGAATTGAAATTCAAAATCTGTCATTTTTGCTAATTAAGAGCAGTGTCCTCTGATAATTGACTTTGAAATATTTTTTCTTAAAAACATTATACTATAATAAAAACATTGTTTTAAAATTTAGGCTTTTGTTATTTTTAAAATCAATTATTACTAAGTGTGGAGTCAACTTGTTTCTAAACTTTGTACTTAATCTGCCAAGTATCAGTTGACAGGCTTTTGTATGTTATATATATATATATAATTTCAGAGAGGAAGGGAGACAGAGAAATAGAGATATCAATGATGAACAAGAATCACTGTTAGGCTGCCTCCGGGATGCCCCCCGCTGAGGGTTGAGCCTGCAACCTGGGCATGTGCCCTGACCAGGAATCAAACAGTTACCTCTGGTTCATAGGTTGAAGCTCAACCATTGAGCCACAGCAGCCAGACTGCATAAGTTATTTTTAATAGATATATAGATATAGGTGCTTTGAATAGTGAGTGCCTAAAGATGTTCCCTACAATCAGATTTTTATTAGTCTCCCTTAAACAACCTTTTTTAAATTTATGAAGTAAAGCAAGCTCTTAAACATTTATCAAAATAATCCAAGTTACAAATTAATGAAATAAAACATCAGTTTTTCTGCATTGCTTTAGGCAAACTTTGTGTTTCTAAAAATTCATACAAGCCTTGAATTGTTCAATCCTAATACTTTTTGAATTGAATAAATTCAAATAATCAAATAATTTTCCATATGACTTGCACAGTACATTCAAAGAAATTTTATCTTTATTTTTGAACTTTAGCTTTTGCTGACTGATCATGTAGTTCAATTCTGTTATGTATTTTTTGTCTCCCTTTAATTAATGCCTATTAAATAAATAGAGGCCAGGTGCACGAATTCATGCACCTGTGTGGTCCCTAGGCCTGGCCTTCAGGATCGGGCCAAAACCAGCTCTCCAACATCCCCTGAGGGGTCCTGGAGATCCCTCTATTCCAACTTTGCTGAAAGTTTTTATAAAAAATGGGTGTTACACCCACCAGGCATGGTTTGGTGTTTGAGTGTCAAACTATGAACTAGGAGGTCATGTTTCAATTCCCAGTCATTGCACATGCCTAGGTTTCACATTTCCTCTCCCACTTTGAAATAAATTAAAAATATATATTAAAAAATGGGTGTTTGATTTTGTCTAATGCTTTTTCTACATATTTTCATATGGTCATGTGATTTTTGTCTGAATGTAATGTATCACATTAGTGGTTTGTGAATATTATACCAGCCTTGCATCTCCAGAATAAATCTCACTTGGTCATGGTGTATGATTTTTGTATATTGCTGGATCCCATTCGCTAATATTTTGTTGAGGATTTTAGCATTTATGTTCATCAGGGATATTGGCCGTAATTGTCTTTCTTTGTACTGTCTTTACCTGGTTTTGGAATTAGGGTAATGCTAGCTTCATAAAAAGAAGTTGGAAGTGTTCCTTCCTCCTGGATTTTTTGAGGAGGGTAGGTGTAAGTTCTTTGAATGTTTGGTAAAACTACACTGTGAAGCCATCCAGACCAGAATTTTTGTTTGTTGGAAGTTTTTTGTATTACTGCTTCTATTTTCTTAGTTAGTATTGGCCTATTCAGGTTTTCTGATTCTTCCTGATTCAGTTTTGGAAAATTTATTTTTCTAGGGATTTGTCCATTTCATCCACATTGTACAACTTGTTGACATATAGTTGAGTATTTTCTTAAAATCCTTTTTATTTCTGTGGTGTCAGTTGTTCCTTCCTGTGCTTTTGTTTCTGATTTTATTTATTTGGGTCCACTCTCTTTGTTTTTTAATAAGTCTGGTTAATGGATCATCAATCTTGTGTATTTTTTTAAGGAACCAGCTCTTGGTTTCACTGATCATTTGAATTGGTTTTTTTTAGCCTCTATGTCATTTATTTCTGTTCTGATCTTTATTATTTCTTTCCATTTACTTATTCTGGGTTTTTCTGGTGTTCTCTAATTCCTTAAGTTGTAATGTTAGATAGCTTATTAAAAATTTCTCTTGTTTTTTGACGTAGGCCTGTAGTGCTATGAACTTTCCTCTCAATACTACTTTTGCTGTGTCCCAGAGATTTGGGGTTGTTTTGAGTTCATTTTCATTTGTTCTTAGAAATTTTTTTTTATTTCTTTCTTGATCTCATTGGTAACCCATTCATCCTATGTAATAAAGAGCTGATATGCTAATTAGACTGGACAGTGGAACGACCTTCTGGAACAACCAGTGGGTGGGGGGGCAGGGCCGCAAGGCAACCGGGACCATGATGGCCAAGGCAGCCATGGCCTCAAGGCCTACTCTTGCATGAATTTTGTGCATGGAGCCTCTAGAGTTTTAATAACATTCCATTTAGCCTCCATGTGTTATAATGTTTTTAAATGTTTTTACTGTAATTGACTTTTAATTTCATTCCATTGTGATCAGAGAAGATGCTTGATATGATTTCAATCTTCTTAAACTTGTAGAGACTTGTTTTGTATCTTAATATATGGTATAACTTTGAGAATGAACCCTGAGCACTTAAGAAGAATGTATATTCTGCCACTTGGGAGAAATATTTTATAAATGTCAATTAAACAGCTTTTTTTTTCTCATTTCCATTTGCCTGAAAGATTTTTTCCATCCCTTCACTTTCAGTCTGTGTGAGTCTTTTGTTCTGATGTGGGTCTCTTGTAGACAGCATATAATTGGATTATGTTTTTGTATCCATTTAGCTACCCTATATCTTTTGATTGGAGCATTTGATTCATTTTTATTTAAGGTTATTATTGATAGGTACCTATTTATTGCCATTTAAATTCCTTATGTCTATGTGTCTCTCTATTTCTTCTCATTGGAGCATTCCCTTTATCATTTCTTTCAGTGCTGGTTTTGTGGTGATAAACTCCTTTCACCTTTTTTTTGTTGGAAAAGCCCTTTATTTCACCATCTATTTTTAATCATAGCCTTGCTGGGTATATTAATCTTTATTTCAAATCCTTGCTTTTCATGACCTTAGATACTTGATGGCATTCACTTTTGTCCTATAGAGTTTCTGATGAAAAATCAACTGACAGCCTAATGGGAGCTCCTTTGTAGATAAAAACAAAAAAATGCTTTTCTCTTGCTGCCTTTTAGTTTGTCTCTTTGTCTTTAATTTTTGACCATTTAATTATGATGTGTCTGGGCATGGGCCTGTTTGGGGTTTCTTTTTGCTTAATATGATCTGTGCTTCTTGAACTTTTGTGACTTTTTTCTTTACCAGATTTGAGTAATTTTCTGTCATTATTGCTTTAAACACATTCTCTAGCATTTGCTCACTTTCTTCACTTTCTGGTACTCCTCTGATGTGAATATTATTAAGCTGTCCTGTTCTTTAATTGTCTTTTTTTTCTTTTTGGCTCTCTGATTGAGTGATTTTTTTCCATCTTGTCTTCTAATTCAATGATCTGATCCTCAGCTTTCCCTAATATGCAGTGTATTCCTTCCACTGTATTATTTATTAGTGTCATCTCATTCTTGATTCTGCCTCTGCCTGTAGTGTGATTGATAATCAGTCTTGATTTGCCTCAGGCTATTGATCACAAAATGGGATGAGAGGTTTTCCAACAAGTCAATTGCTCCCCTGGATGGTAAAGGTTGCTCCAGAAAGTTGCTCACTGGAGTGTGAGGGAATGACTCATCACAGGAAACTGTGGTTTCTGTCTTCCAAACTCTAACCCCAGAACCCACAATCCTGAATTCTCTTCATACAGCTCTAGTCCATTCTGCCCTCCCTCTGCCAGATCCCAAGGTGAGTGGCTGCACATGAAAATTTGTGCATTAGCCCTTCAAGGGGGTTCCTGCATTTCCAGCCATCTCTCACTGGCAGACAGAAACCTTGCTGCTTCTCACAGTCAGATGTATGTGGGCACTTTTCTCAGTTCTGATGCTCTGGGCTGAAGGTCCCAGCTTGGGGTTTAGACCCCAGGATACTCAATGGGAACCCCCCACATCTGAGATATGCCTCCAGAACTTCAGCTGTTGGGAGCCCAGCCCATCCTTTCACACATCTGCACTTCCTTCCAGTCTCTAAGTGGTCTCCACTTCCCATTCTTAGTTATCAGTGTTCTCTCCAGATAGACTTCAATTGATTATTCAGGATGGTTTTTCTGTATTTTAGTTGAAATTCCAGTTTGGTCCTTGGAGAGTGTCAGTGTAGCTTCCACTTTACACCACCACCATTTTGGAAACCACCTCTGAATACTTTATTTTAAAATTTAAGACTGTATAGGCTTAATTTCTTTCATTTATTAAATTCATTTTATTATTTTTTAATTTTAGCAGGTTCTAAGCAGAATACTATACATCCTCAAACGGTAAGTTAAAAATTCTTAAATGAATTGAGTCTGATAACTTGATGTTTTCAACTGAGGAATTGTAACTGAGATATTAAAACCTTTTGCTGTCTGTTTAGTGTAAAATTAAATTAAAAGAACTTAGAAGTCATTTTATAACCTTTGCATAATTGAATCTAATTCTATTTTTAGAACCTATATTTGGTCATTTAGTAGAAATGAGATAGAATAAGTGGTTCCTTGTGATACTGCAGACTTCTCATATCCAGTATTGGAAAGTTTATGTGTAAGAATAGTGGTCATTGTCTCTGCTGAAGGAAAGCTGATTCTAATATATTGTCTGACCTGTTGTATTTATTTGATGTGCATGTACAAAACAGTATTTCAGGCTTAAAATGAGGAATAAATTTATATTAAAATGATGTTATTTAAAATAATAATCTGTAAAATAAATGTAAATATTGGATAAAGTATCTGTTCTGAATTATGATTCATTTCCCTCATT